AAAATTTTTAATTTATTTCAGTGTTAGTTATACAGTTGAAAAAAAATCCTGATGCTTTTAGATGTGATTAGTGTATATTTGTAGCTATAAATTAAGAGCAGTCTATCTATCTAGGAGCAAAGCCATTGAATTTTAAAAAGAAAGTGACTAAATAAAACAACTACAGCTACTACTGTTGCTACTATTACTGCTGCTGCTACTACTACAACTACTGCTGCTACTACTACTTTTATTAATTTTACTACAAATACCATGTATAGTAAATAACATACATACATACATACATACAAGAATATACAAGACAAAACAAACAAACAAAACAAACAAATAATAGCAGACAGAGAAACAATCATTAACAGCAAACAAAAATAACCTTGTACGCTATCCTTCTTAAAAGTTACTGACCCATTACTACTACCAGCCACAACATTAGTATTATTACTACCAGTAACGTTACTACTGGTAATCAGCTGACTATGTGGCCTCTGTTTTGTGGCAGACGACACTCGAGTTTTAGTCGTCTGTCTAGACGAGGGAGAGATGGAAGCAGAGGTAAGCGTAGACTTGCTTGCACCACTATAACTACCTGTACTACTACCGTTAACTTTGTTGCTGTTGTATGCCGATGACTGCTTGTAAGATTGCTTGCTGTTCGAAGCGTTGTTGGACGATGATCTAGAAGAATTGTTGTTGTTGTTGATGACGTCATCGTCCGTTGAGTTGTTGCTGTCATTGAGGTCAGCTGTTTTGCGTTGTAGGTACTGCTGGAAGATGGCCTCGCGCCGGTGTCTCTCTTCCTGCTTCTTTTGCTGCATCTTTTCATCTTTCAGCCTGATTGGCGTGGATCATGTGCATGATTTTTAGAAGTATAACTCAAAGAAATTAAGGCGACTTATATCTTGATTGATTTCTTCTGGACACAGGCACTCATTCGAACAAACAAACAAACAAACAAATGGCCGAAGACAAAATCTAAAATTAGATGCAGATACATATATGATAGGTGAATGAAACCTTTGTTGCTCCCTCTTAACAAGTTGATCTTTACTTATTTTATTCTTCTTCTGCTCTAGTTCTTCCTTCCTTCTCTGTTGAAGTTCTGCCAGACGGCTTTTCACTCTTTCCATTTCACCCTGACAAATTTAGCCAACAGTTTTTGTATTGCGTTTGGTGACGGGTTTAAAAAAGTAATCTGTCTCTGGCTAGCTAGAGAAAGTAACCAGTAGAGATGAATTTGAAACAAAATTGAAAAAAAAGCAATCCTGAACATCAATCAATCAACATAATCAGCATGTTAATTACTCTGCAAATCGTTTTAGAAGAAATATTTCCTCAAATAAAACTTCAACAAAAGAAACCAACAGCATCACTAACCATATCCAATTCATTATCATCAATAACGAATCCAACAGATCCAGTTTCCGAGTTATCTTCATCTGTTTTCGACAGAGATGATGATGAGTGTGGAACATTCTTCAACCTCCCCACCACATCTGGAACAGCAGCACCACCACCACTACTAGAAGCAGCTGTGGCAGCTAAAGTAGAAGCAGTAGCAGCCGATATAACAGCTTCCCCCTTATTTGTGGCAGCAACTTCAGGGGAGGAGCTACCCTGTACCCCGGCTGATTTAACAGATCTACTTTTGGTTCTGTTGAGACCAATCTCTGGTTTTGGCCGTCTAGGGGCCTCTAAATTAACCACAAAAAATTCAGCCTGCTGGCACTGTTTAACCGCATCATTATCTCTCTGCTGCTGTTGAATATCATTATCAAGATCCGCGTCGTAATCGTTATCATAATCATCCAACAGCATCACAGATCTCATGTTTTCTTCTTCCTTCGACGGTGAGTACTGCAATGTGTGAGAGGGGTAGAAGCCTGGGGAAGAGATTGAATTCCTCTGTTGTGGATTATCTTGGAGATGAGATGATATAGCAGCCGGAGTGACGGAAGGTTGATAGTTGCAACTTGGAAAATCTTTCTCAAAATTACTAGTTGACTTCTCTAGAAAGTTCAGCCCTGAAAAGTAATCAGAAACAACACTACTCGGCCGTGCTGTACCTCTGGGATGGCTTCCATCCTGCCCCATCATGGATGCATAACCCGACCTACTTGCTGACATAGATTCCCTCCTTGACTTCTGACCCGGATATTGACCTTGAGAAGCAAGTCGCATCTGAGACTCGGACAGCCCTCCAAAACTGGAATCCTTCCTCAGTGGAATGTCTTTCCGAGCAGGGTCCAGACTCCTAAAATGTGGGCTGACCCCTCGACTGCGTGCACTGAAATTAGGATCAACATAATTTTGAGGGTAGTTCATAGTCTGGTAGTATGGATTCACGGGGTACGGGTAATAGTTCAGCATTGATGGGTGTGGTGGAAGGTGGTGATGAGGAAGAGGAGGGTAATATGGATAATGGTGCATGTATGGATTGATTGGCAGAGGGGGAGGTTGGACTGGAGGATTGGTGAAAGAAGGAATGTTAGGGTTAGGATTAGTGCTAGCTCGTGTTGGATGCCTCATCTGATCATGGTGGGAATAAGTTAGTTGTTGTAGGTCATCATCAACAGCAGGAGCAGCAGCAACAATATCATCATTAATGATATTATTGTTGTAATTATCTTCATCATTATGAACACTGAAGCGATGTTGTTGTGGATGATGATGACGATGAGGAAGATGATGAACGAGATAGCGATCTTCTCCATATTTTTGAAATGCCGAATGCCTTCTGGGGTTGTTGGCATTGCTAGGGAGAACTTGTGTACCATTTGAATAGCTGTGCCTCAGTCGGGGCCCATCATCTCGACCAACATCCTGCTCGCAATTACTGGCTGTCTCATCAAAATCATGCTGTCTTTGAGGACTGAGAGGTTGGTTAAGTGGTGCATCGCTGTTGTTGCTGTTGATGTTATTAGTAGTGACAAGATTTTTAATGTGATCTTGCTGCAAGGACAGTCTCATTATCTCTCCTTGCAACTCCGACAGACTGCTGTTCAGGCGGTCCAGCGAAGTGCCGTAATTAGGATCTGGATTCTTCTTAGAGGCGTCCAATGATCGTTTTTTAATCTGCTCCTGATGAAAAGATGGAGGTCTCTTAGAATCCGATAAAGATGGCTTTGGTTGTAGTTTGGATTGCTGCTGTTTCAGCTGCTGTTGTTGTTTCAACTGTTGCTGTTGTTTCAACTGCTGTAGTTGTTTCAGTTGTTGTTGTTGCTGTTTCAGCTGCTGCTGTGTTGTTGATGGCTTCTGTGTTTTCTGAGCAGCAATCTGACTAGATCTGTGTATGGTGTGTGCAGGAAAATGTTGTTGTGGCGGTTGAGTTTGTGGTTGTTGATGTGCATTGGCTGGCTTGGATAAAATTTTTTGTGGAGATTTTTGAAAATCTTGCTCGGAAGAACTCTTTTTAACTTGCTCACTACTCTTGAGGTTGGAGAAGGTTTCATGCGCAAATAATTTCTCCATTGCAATGGCTGAATCTTGACTGTAATAACCAGCAGTGGAACTCGAAAATGAGGAAGAAAGCTTGTTGTTATGGATGGAACTGTTGGATGGTTGTTTAATGCTTTGGCTGACATCTGTGGGGTAGAACTTACTCGAGTCAGTTGAACCAAAGAGCGTCGAAAAGGCTTCTTTGCTGGCTGCCTGTTTTTGAATAGTCCACTGTTGCTCCATCTTTCGTTTATCAATTTCCATCCTGCGTCTTCTTTCTTCCAGTTTTTTTCTAATGGTTAAAAGATCATTGTCGATGTTTATACTATCTTCCATTCTGGAGACAGAATTTATGTTGGATGTGTCTTTAGTTGGCAGCATTTCAGAATCCTCTTGACTAATAAATGCCTGTTTTGTAGTGCTTGCGCTATTAAATTGTAAAGTGTTTGCTGATATTGTTTGTGTTTTCTTACGGTTCGGTTGTTTAGGAAGCTGAGTTGAAGTTGGGGTAGTAGTAGATGGTGAGGCTACAATGTTCTCTACATTAGAACCAGTCCTACTTATTCGAAATGTGTTGTGATTGGCCGATGGCTTGTTAGATGCATTCTGTAGGACACTTTGTATCGAAGGATCTGAGAAATGAAAAGCAGATGTACCAGAAAGTGGCACACTATCACTAGACGGGGTTAGATATTCTTCAGTGGGTGTTGAGTCCCCACTAGAATTTTTAGGTTCATTATTTATAACCAAGTTACTGGGCTTAGATGCCATTTAATGAAACGTGAAATGCACATGTAAATATATTACTCAGTTCAGTCAAGATTCATTACACCTTTATAAAAAAAAAATTTTAATTTAAAACTTAATTTAATTAAATAAAAATTAATCACCATCATCAAACTGTGTTGTACACTTTTGTTAATGTTAACCTGAGAATCGCAGCTAACAATAATATTTTAAACTGTGAAAATCGTCGATTGGGATGTTTATTTTCAGATTTCATATAAATGGCGTCTGCTAAATTTTAAACTTTACTGCAAAATGATTTTTTTTTCGATTCGTAGCGAAAAATAAAACAAAATGAAGATTAAATCCTCAACCGCTTCATTGCTAACAGTTAATGAAAGTTAATATCTGGACAGTAACAAACTCCTCAAACCAATAGTCAAACAATTTAATCAATTTTTGAATCTATAATTTCATCATACATATTAACGAATATGTTAAAAAAGTTGTTAATTTAAACATATTGCTTTTTTTTAGATAATTTGTGTTGAAGTTATTATGATGACCATCACGTGCGCGTGACAGTAGTGCCGAAAAGTTGGCAAATCCGAAGCAAAAGTTCCATTTTCCGTTTAAAATCTTTCTTTGCAAATTTTGACATTTAATAAAAACGCAAAAAATAAACGTAATGCATTCAGATCTCTAACTCTATCCGATTTTTGTTAGTTAAAAATTAAAGAGAAACTTTAATTTCTGTATTCCTAACTTTTTTTTGTTCCGACTGTTAAGTGGACCGAAAAAGTTTATAATACAGAACACGGGAATTAGTGAAAAAAGCCATGGCGTACCCCAGTCCCAGTGATGTACCCGTAGCAGAAAATATGGACTCGCAGCCTAGAATATTGTTGCTGGGTCTGAGAAGCAGTGGCAAGTCATCCATCCAGAAGGTCGTCTTCCACAAAATGCCCCCTGGTGACACCATGAATTTGGAAAGCACTAATCAAATTGTCAAAGAAGGTCGCATATCTATTTACTTGTTTTATTTATTTGCTATTAACTTCTTTATTTGCTTTTTATATCTGATTTTTTTTAAATTTTTGATTTAATTTATTTATGACTTATGTAATTTTACAAAATAAGATAAGCCAGTAGTAAAATAAGTGTTTCAATGTCAATCCAATAGTCTGGTTTTGTTTGTTTGCTCATTATGTTGTTAGCACAAATGGTTGTAATATGATAGTTACATCTGTCCTCTTATATATTATAGTTATCTGCAATCAAGATCCATTTATTTAATGTTGGTGGAAATAATTATAAGCCTTTTCTTGATAATTAAATAATTATAAAGAAATTAAATAATTTTAATAAAAATTTATTTTATGAAATAATAATCTATATTCTTTGAATCCTTCCAGATATTACAAGCGGTTCATTTATTCAATTTCAAATTTGGGACTGCCCTGGTCAGAATGACTTCTCGGACTCGAGCCTGTACGACCTAGATTACATTTTTGGCACGAGGGGTGCTCTCATATTTGTTATTGATGCTCAGGTAGGGTGGTGTAAATAAGATAGAATTTCTATTTTCTTTATTTTTTCAACTTTAAATTAACATTAATAAATTAAAAATACTAAAAAATACCAAAAAAACCTTTAAGGATGACTGCAACGAGGCACTGAGAATGCTAAATCGAGTTTTTACTAATGCCTACAACGTCAACAAAAACTTAAAATTTGAAGTCTTCATCCATAAAATCGACGGGATTCCCGAGGACCAGAAATTAGAACTTCAAAGGTACATCCTGTACACAGCTAGTGAGGAACTTAAGGAGTCTGGCATACATGGACTGCATTTAAGGTCTGCATTCTGGATTTGAAATGTCAATCAAATTACTTTAGAAAAAAAATTATTATTCAAAGTTAATTTTAAAAGAGTTTGAGATAAGATAACGGTAATTATTAATATAAATCTTTGATCTTTTTTATCTATTGGCTATTAAAAACAACTTTTTAATAATGAAAATGTCAGCCAAACGTGAGCACTTTGTTAATTGTTTTTTTTTTTAAATAAATAATTTAATCCCGAATTTTCATCATTAAATTAATGACAAAAGCAAAATTACTAATTTATACATTGCAGTATCCACCTAACAAGTATATACGACCACACCATATTTGAAGCATTCAGTAAAGTTGTTCAGAAGCTTGTGAAATCTCTCTCAGTCCTTGAAAACATGTTGACCATGTTTTCAAACGTAATTTATCTTATTTTAATATAAATTATACTTTATTGTAATATAAATATAATAGTATTATATTTATATTACAACATTGTCTGGATGTGGTGTGGCAGTTACCAGCTTCAAATGCGGATAGATCCCGGCACATCACGTGCAATTTGTGTGTCTGATGGTTTATATTACACCAGTATTTATTAATTATTTCAATTTTTTAAATATTATTTTCGCTATTTTGATACTGTTATTCGTTTGAAATCACAAAATCTTCAATTCATATGGGCAGTAATCTTTAGATTTAACAACTTTAGATTTTACAACCTGAAGTTTTTGGACCAATCAAAATACTTTTCTCAATGTATATTATTGTTTGTAGTATAATTCTTCCACAAATCTTCTTTCCCTAATCTCAGAATTCGGGGGTTGACAAGGTGTTCCTGTTTGATATCGTCAGCAAGATCTACATAGCGACAGATGTCAATCAAGTGGAAAATGAATTGTACGAGTTGTGCTGTGACATGATAGATGTCACTCTTGACATCTCCTGTGTTTATGGGTTTGTAGGTTTTCATTATTCTCTCTCTCTTTCTCTCTCTCTCTCTCTCTTTTCTCTAAAAATATGTGTATAAAGGTTTGTATGTCCGGGTAATTTTTTTTCAAAGACTTAAATTACTGGCTAATGTTGATGTGTTTAAACTTTAGCTCTCTACCTCTTTAGCTCTTTACCTCTCTTCCTTTTTCTCTGACTCATTCTCATTTTTTCTAAATTCAAACATACATACTTTGATAATATTTATGTTTATAATTAAAATAATAATTAATAATATTAAATAATTTACTAACGCGCCCGTTCAGTGAAGGGGATGATGACGTTGAAAACAGTGGCTTCGATCATGAATCAGGAGCCCTGATCCGCCTAAACACAAATTTTGTTCTTTATCTTAGGGAAGTTAATAGGCACCTGGCCGTCGTATGCATAATTAGTGACACTAATTTCCAAAGAAGAGGTTGTTTTGTGTAGTAATTCAACTTTTTACTGACAAAATTTAGCTGTTTAATAAAGCCAGTAGATGCGTTTTTTAATCTGTTAATTTGATCTCACCTTTACAGCTTGTACACCAAAAATATTTTACGCTTACACAAAAATCTGCCATTCCATGTAAAGGTTTTTAACGTAATTGAACTAACAACTTCAGGCACCATAGACTACAACTTTGGCATCCTGCGTAAGAAGATTAACGACATCCTAGAAGCAAACAAGAACTTAGAAAAGCTCAAAAACAACTCTGCTGCTGTTGAGGACGCCAACGGCGATGACGACCTCTCGAATAACGTCTGCTGACCGTAATAATAAATAATTATGGTAGTAAATTATGATTTGAATTATAATTGCACTAGTGGTCGATAGCTGGCACTGTATCGCCCCTTTGATAATTGCAAGATTTAATAACTCTCTACTTACTGTTTCTCCGTTCATACGAGAGTTGTCAATTTAAAATATTTTTTTTTTACTTCGTTACCTGATTTATTTTGTTACAAACATACACACACACACATACATACATAACATACATACATACATACACGTGCATGAAAAGAACATTTTAGCTGTCCCATTTAGGCACCGTTTTTCTGTTGTATTTTATTATATTTTTATGTTTCAGCTGGTTTTTCAATCATTCTCTTTGTTGTCAAGAACTCAATCGATTTTGATATTTGCCTTTTTAAACATCATTAAGTACGTTCACCTAACAGCCAAACATTAAATTATCCTTGAGATAATTTTAACCGCTTTTCTTACCTTTACACCTAGCTCATCATTGCAAACTCTCTACTTACTGTTTCTCCGTTCAAACGAGAGTTGTCAATTTAAAATATTTTTTTTTATTTCGTTACATGATTTATTTTGTTACAAACATACACACACGCACATACATACATAACATACATACATACATACACGTGCATGAAAAGAACATTTTTGCTGTCTCATCATTGGGTGGGGTGGGTGGGGTATAGGGAACTGGGTGGGGTATTGTGTGGAAAGAAATGGTCAGTGAAGATGAAAGGGAGGGTATATAAAGCATGTGTGAGAGCAGCGATGGTATATGGTGGTGAAACTTGGGTGTTGAGGAGAGAGGAGGAAAGTGTACTGCAGAGGGCTGAAAGAGCTATGGTGAGGATGATGTGTGGGGTTAAAGTGAAGGATAGGAGGAGTAGTACAGAGCTGATGTCAATGATGGGACTGAATGAGGACATTGTGACATTGATAAGGAGATCGAGATTGCGGTGGTATGGACATGTGTTGAGAAGGGATGAAAGGGTCGGGATTAGGCGAGCGTTGGAGTTCGAGGTTGAAGGAGTGGTAGGAAGGGGTCGTCCGCGATTTGGATGGAGAGAGCAGGTGGAGAAGGACAGGGTGAAAGCGGGGTTGCGTGATACCGAGGCGAGTGACAGATGTGGATGGCGTCGAGGGGTATTTCGGTTTCATCATAGGTAGCCAAACGGCAACCCCCGATCTCGGGGAAAATGTCGTCTAAACGTGTGTTGTTGTTCATCATTGCAAACCAAATTTGAAGCTTGTACATATGCTGACAGTTTTAGCAAACTACTTTCCTTTCATTAGCGTTTCATTCAAAGTTTGTTATTTGTTCTAGTTTCATTCTTGCAAAAAGAATTATGGTTACGTAGTAGTATTCTCAATAGGACGCGTCAAAAATATCAGTCTCTTTACTAACGAATTCAAAAACTTTGTCGTTACATAACACAAATCACTTTTTTACGACTGAATGATCACGAACTTGCAAAAAATGATCGGTCAAAAACACGCAACAAGGCCCACGTGAGGCTAAGATCGCTCACAAATTGCCAAGATCTGACACCTGATACATAATCAATCAATCTTCGTTTTGCGTCCAGAGACCCGGTTCCCCGAGGTTGGACGTTGTTTTCTTACCCATCAAGTTTTTGCGCCAAATTAGACGATCAGTAGTATCCATTTCATTTAAATTTAGAGCTTTCATGTCTTGCTCGATTGTTTGCGACCAGGACTTCTTTGGACGGCCTTTGAGACGTGTGCCAGGTACTTCAGCAGGTATATAACTTTATATAAATCAATATAACCGTAATAATATGACTATCTATATTCAATAACTCTACATAACTATATAAAGTAATACAAAGTTATATAGTGTTATTGATTATATATAGTTATATTGTGATATATAAGGTTCTATAGATAAATAAATAGTCATGTAGAGTTATTGAATAAATATGGTCATATAGTGTTATATACGGTTACATACATTTATAAATAGATATATAGTGTTATTGATTATATATAGTTATATAGTGATATATACGATTATATAGATTTATAAAGAGTAATGTAAATTTATTGAATGTAGATAGTCATACAGTGTAATATACGGTTATATAAATTTATATATAGTTATGTAGAAATATTGAATATATCTAGTCATATAGTGTTATATACGGTTATATAGATTTATATATAGTTATGTGGAGTTATTGAATATATATAGTCATATAGTGTTATATAGGGTTGTATAGATTTATACATAGTTATATAGTGTTATTGATTATATGTAGTTAAATAGTGATATATACGGTTACATAGGTTTATATACAGTTATATAGTGTTATTGATTATATATAGTTATATAATGATATAAACGGTTATACAGATTTATATATAGTTATGTAGAAATCTTGAATATATATAGTCATATAGTTTTATATACGGTTATATAGATTTATATATAGTTATGTGGAGTTATTGAATATATATAGTCATATAGTGTTATATAGGGTTATATAGATTTATATATAGTTATATAGTGTTATTGATTATATGTAGTTATATAGTGATATATAGGGTTACATAGGTTTATATACAGTTATATAGTGTTATTGATTATATATAGTAATATAATGATATATACGGTTATACAGATTTATATATAGTTATGTAGAGTTGTTGAATATAGATAGTCATATAGTGTTATACACGGTTATATAGATTTATATATAGTTATATAGTGTTATTGATTATATATAGTTATACAGTGATATATACGGTTATA